GGACACAGACGTTGCCTAAATAACGTTTCAGTGGCCAGAGCAACTGGAATTGCGCTCCGGCAAGGCTGTAGAGAGACGCCAAAGGCAACACTGGGAAGCAGAATGGACACAGCTGACTCTGTGCTGTGTGTGTCTCTGTGGAAAAACAGGAGAATCGGGACCATGCTGGAGGGCCCCTTCTGAGGCCGCGCGTGTGCAGTCTTCTAGCCCGGTGACATGATCCACCTAAGTTTTGCAAGCTAGTTGTTAAATGCGGCCATTATTAAAAATCAAATTATAGCCCTAACCGGTTTGGCTCAGTGGGTAGAACGTCGGCCTGCGGACTGAAGGGTCCCAGGTTTGATTCCCGTCAAGGGCATGTACCTTGGTTGCGGGCACATCCCCAGTGTCCCCAGTGCAGGAGGCAGCTGATCGATGTTTCTCTCTCATTGATGTTTCTGGCTCTCTATCCCTCTCCCTTCCTCTCTGTAAAAAGTCAATACAATATATTTTTAAAAAAAATCAAATTATGTAAACTTACAATTAAATCAGTTATATAAAACAAAGGAGATCAGCACACACAATGTAGCACTTCCTAATTCTTTGACTATGGTTCCCTCCTGTCTCACTGCTTGAGGTTATTGACGCCTATGGTATCTGGACGGTGGAAATACTCTACCGTGGGTGCTACTGCTCATCCTCCCGACTCCACGCCAGGCACATCACGTTGGTACCCTGAAGTCAGCCGTGGTGGGAGAACTCACATCACAGAAACGGCAAAAGCTATAAACCAAGGCTTCCCTGCCTCCTGTGCACCCCCACCTGCTCCCAAAGTCGCTGTTAAACGTTTTCCACCACAAGTGTTCCTCTCCAGCTCTAATGAGGAGAAACAGCAAACGACCGAGGGGTCCCTGGAGCGATATCTTAGGAGCAGGCTCTTCCCTCACGGCTCCCAGCAGCGGCGATGCAGTAATAACTGCCCTCCAGCCGGGATGGGGGGCCTCCCCTGGCTCGTCACCCTGGCAGGAAGCTGTTTCCAGAGTCTCCACCATCTCTCTTACTGCTCATTAGTGAGCTTTTCTTACCAGAGCTTCGCTGTTCTCACTCTTTAAGTGAAGGGTAAGTCTGAGCATGACTCCCTGGTTCCAGGAATGGGGAAGATGATGTCATTCGACACAGCCTGGACCTACAGCCCGCTGGCTGCCTCCTTCCCTCACCGGCCTGCAGGAGGCTGAGCAGGAGGCTCCTCAAAGCCATCCGGACGGCCCTCCCCAAGCCATCCTGGTCAGTCCTCTGGCTTAGGGCACCAGTGTGCCAGGCCCAGGGCCCTGCCAAAGACCTAACCATCTAACACAGTGGTCAGCAAACTCATTAGTCAACAGAGCCAAATATCAACAGTACAACGATTGAAATTTCTTTTGAGAGCCAGTTTTTAAACTTAAACTATATAGGTCGGTACATTGTTATTAACTTAATTAGGGTACTCCTAAGGCTTAGGAAGAGCCACACTCAAGGGGCCAAAGAGTCACATGTGGCTCTCGAGCCGCAGTTTGCCGACCACGGGTCTAACAAGTCATCTTCTGGGCACTCACAAGTGTGTGCAAATAAACGAAGGGATGGAAGGTTCCTGCAGGTCTCTACTCCCCTGCTGTATAACCCCCTCACCCCCTGTATCCCCACCCCACCCCAAGAAACTCCCACTTGGCACAGCCACCTCAAGACCTTTGTCGCTGGCTCCCTCTGTGCCACCACTGCCTCTCTTTTTTCCTCCACAGGTTTGCCAAGGCCGTGCCAGCTATGCTATCACCCTTTGCAAACACCCAAGCCAACCGGCAGGGCCTCCTCGTTATATATATAACTAAGCAGCGCTTCTGGGCTTCCTCAGTTAAGAAATGTGAAGCCCACCCTGCCTGGTTTGGCTCAGGGGATAGAGCATCGGCCTGCGGAAAGAAGGGTCCTGGGTTCGATTCCTGTCAAAGGCACATGCCTGGGGTTGCAGGCTCAATCCCCAGTGGGGGCGTGCAGGAGGCAGGCGATTATTGATTCTCTCTCATCACTGATGTTTCTATCTCTCCCTCTCCCTTCCTGTCTGAAATCAATAAAAATATTTATTTAAAAACAACAATCTTGAAACCCAGATATTCTGAGGTCCATCATACCCATATCTCATGTGGCCCCAGAAGGAAGAATTAGCCCAGTTTTGCCTCAAGAGAAAAAGAGGCAAAGAGAGAAGGAAGTGCCAGGGCTCTCCGCAGGCGGTGGCTGGGCAGAGGCGGGTAGAACTGAGTGACTGTGAAACACCATGCTCTCCAGAAGACCCCCAATCCCTAGACCAGACACAGGTGCTGTTGTGGGCGTGGTGCGGCCACCTTGTATGGAGTTCAACCGCTGTTCCACTAGAGGCAGTGGAATCAGAGGTGTGATGTTGAGGGCTCCCTAAGGGTAGGACCTGGACCAAGGGATAAAAGCTCTCTCGGGACCAAAACTGTGCTCAGTAGAAGAAACGTATCTCTGATAGTCAGAGGCTGAATGGACTGCATTGGGAGACGGAGTGATGCCATTAAACGTATTCAAGAAAAGGTTGGAATGGCCTTTGTTAGGAATGCTGTCGAAAGAATTCCAATATGAGAGAAACAGCCTGAGGTCTTAGAGTCAAACATGCCTGGATCAAAACCTGAATTATTACCTGTGTGGCCTTGGTCTCTCTCAGGGAGTCAATGCCTAAACCCTCTGAGCTCAGTTTCCTCATCTGTGTAATGGGATAACGCACAACCTCAGGACTGAAGTAAGGATTCGATAAGACAAAACATCAGAAAACAACTGGCACATAAGTGCCCAGTCAATGTCAGTCCCCTTTCCATTAAGGAGGGTTGGGGGGTGGGGGGGTGAGGTTAGAGGACCTCCAGGGTCTCTCTACCCAGAGTATGACTGAAACCCTTCCTAGTTGCTGGGAGGGAAGGCTACATCCGGGAGAGATGGGAAAGTCAGGATTGGCGCATGAGAACAGGAGGAAGAATGATGCTGATAGAATGAATGGTCTGGGAACATTCACAGAGGTCATCCCTGCAAGCTCCGCGTCCTCCCGCCCCCTCCTGA